GGTTAATCTCAAATCTGTGTGTTGAGTATGGAGCCAGAGTCAGGGCATGGTTATCTTAACATTAGCATAAAGAATGTAAGCGGGGGGAGGGTGCATGCCTAAAATGGTTCTTTCCAAAGTTAAAAACTCAGCTACCAACTAAAGTTCAGTAATTAACAGACTGTAGACTGTCTCGTTTGTATAATCAATAAACCAACAGAAACTTAAAACTGTCTTGGAGAAAGTCCCATGCTGGTGAACAATAGCGTATCCATCCACCGAGTACTTCTGTGCACTGACTCCGGCTGTACTGCGAGATGCCAGATACACTTGGTGGTGACAAGACTTCAACAAGCTGCACACAGCACCCGATAGTTGTTTGAAAAGAAATAGGACCAGCACCTAACTCCACCTAAAACCACATATTTCAACTTTTTCTGTGTACAGATTAAGTAAGCAAGATAGTGTTAATTAGAGAGCTTCAGAGACATTAGTAGGTGTATTTTTCCAGTCTTTATGCTAAGCTGACTCCAGCTCACGTAACACAGACTTGTGATTGATGTTGAGCTTTTCATCCAAGCTCATTAAACATGGGACATTTTACTGTGTCCATGATGGAGACTCTTCTCTTTAGTAGAAGTAATTTTCTTTTAAGGTATTTAACATTTTAGTTTTTTTTTTTGTAAAATATCAATTTACTGTCATTTATCTCTGTTGTACCTCTCCTCAGTATATGTAGTAATGATAATCAAAGGCTTCTTTTTTTTACTGTTCACTCCGGTATATTTGGATTGCACCGTCTTAAAATTTTCGTCTCTAACAATCGGCTCCGATTGGACAACTTTGATGCTTTCTGCCTTAATTAATAGATCTGATTGGACGACCTTAGCACTCTCTACCTCAACTGGATCCTGGGATTTGGGCGGGGTATCGCTTCGTGTTGTAACAGGGGGCTGTGATTGGCTGCTTACCCTGAAGGGGCTGTTGGGGATGCTGACTCCTCCCCAGGCGACGGACACGGTGTGTTTGACAGGGGAGGCAGGCGTGTAGGAGCAGGAGTACAGCCCTTCACCTTTACTCCTCACCTTCACCTCCACAGGAAGTCCCTCTGCGTTCTGACAGACAGACAGACAGACAGACAGACAGACAGACAGGAATAAAATTAAGACGTTGGTCTGAGCTTCCTGAAATAGAAACAAAAGTCCAACCTTGGCTGCATACAAATGTTTGTTAGGAGGTTGCAGTTATGTTGGGGGGAAACAAAACAAGCAAAGAAAACTTTAAATGGCATTGGAAGAAATACAAGAATGAATCTAATTAACAATTTTTATAGCTGATTAATCTTGCAATGCCAAAAAAATGCAAAATATTCTCTGGTTCCAGCTTCTTAAATGCAAGGACTTGGTGCTTTTCTCCATTTTATATCATTGTAAACTAAATTACTTTTAGCCCTTTTCCACCAGATAGAACCAAGAACTATGAAGCCAGAAGAAATATACTGTGAGCCATAAAAGGGCACTCCAGATACAACATTTGGTAACAATTGGAAAGAGATATTTATTAGTATTTGTAACATTTGCTTGTGAGCATCACCGAACACATTCACAGAATTAAACCTTTGTTGGTTTCAGAACTGTTGGTGTGTGTCTGTATTGATCGAGTATGAGAGGATTTGTGCGTCTTACCTGAGCAGTGATCTTCAAAGGTCCTTTCCCAGCATCCTTAGCGCTGACAGTGAACTCAGCAGGTTGGTTGACCAGGCAGCCGGTCTTCTCAAGCCCCGGGCCGAAAGCCTCGATCTGCAACCACAAAACCAGTAATTATTAGAGATCTGGGTATATTTTAATGGCTAAAATAAAGCAGCTTCCTTCACTGTGAAAGTGTTCTCTGCAGGGGTCTCCCAGTTAGATTTATATCAGAGGGTAATCTGTACATTGAGAGGTGGAATAAGCTGCAAAAAATAGTAAACACTGCCTCCAAAACTGCAGGAAAGCCACAAAAACAGCTAAGTTTTGTGTATGACCAACTCTTAAGAAGTAAAACAACAATTCTCCCCCACTGTACAGGGAATTTGAACTTTTGCCTTCAGGCAGACAGATTACCGATGGCTAATCCCTTGTCCCAAATGCTGTCATGGTAATAAATGAAAGTAAGATCCTGTAGACGAGGATACAGAGTGTCCCAGACTTTGATGCTGTTTTTCACAGAATACATTAATGTGATGATGTGGAAAGTGTATCCAGAGTCATACTTTTATGAATGTTTTTATCTTTTGTGAGTTGTAGTTTTATGAATGTCTATGTTTTTTATAAGACAAATTCCCACATTGTGGACATATTTTTGAATCAGGACCTTCAGTATTTAAGTAGCTAATAAAACTTGGTTTGTCAGATTTCAAGGTGTCAGATGCAAATGTAATCTCTGTATCTGAGATGCTGAATATTTAAGGACTCTTAGACCTTAGAAATGTAACCATCTCAAATCTTATAACTGAACGTCTTATCCATCACATGCCTGAACCCAAGTGTCACTGACCTTAGCTGGGTCACTGGCGTTGTTGTCGGGGACGATGTGGGCCATGAAGGGGCTGTGCTCAATGTCCTCCTCATCACAGGTCACGTGGATGGCGTATTCTCCGGGCTCCGTGGGCCAGTAACGGACATCACACGACCCGTCGTTCTGGTCCTCACACTCAATTTTAGCCTGGGAAGGTCCCTCAATGGCAAAACCTGAAGACACAGCGGGTCAGATTAGAGTGGATATAAAGTTTGGTTTGTGTTTCACAGCATTTAATTTAATCTGATTCCAGTTTCAAATTCTTAAGTCTAATCAGGATTCTTTAGAGTCCTGTATCAAACATTTTATCTTTATTGGAAAAGAGGGAGGTAGTTTTTCGTGAAGTGAACTTTTCGTGTAATTAACATTGACAACTAACCAAGATGAAGCACACTGATGGTTAAAACAATGCCAATAATATGTCCTTATCAGAGAGCACTGTGAACTCGAAAAGTCAATGATTTAAATAATCAGTCAAGAAGACAGAGAGTCAACTCGCATTTTTAACAGTGGAATCTCTGCACTTTTGTTTTTCAGCTGCATGGCAGGAAGTAAACTTTCCAAACCAAGTCTCAAAATAACCACAATGGAAGTGGAGAAGAGTGATAGTTAACAGAGGGCAGAGTGACGCCAGACAGCGGAGCAGCAGCTGCTGGGGTGATGACGCTTTGTGAAGTCCTCTAATCCTCTGAACCAGAGGGTGGTCCAATCTCCTCTACTGCCGTCCAGTGTGACTGACTCTACGTCTCACAGATCTGCAGCCCGGCAGGAGAGACGCTCCGTGGTG